TTAGTGAAACTTAGTTTAATTAAGAAAACAGACCTGTAGTAAGTTTCATCGGGAACCAATGATCCCCCGCCAAAACAAAGGCCAGAAAATGAACAAGAATATGAAGTTTTGGCACAGTTTGAAAGTTAAACTCGAGTTTCTGATCCTCTTGATTAATCTTAAGACGGGAGCAACACAATGAAGGGCGGGAGTCGGGAGGCAAAGAGGCACAAAAGTACGGGAGACAGGAGAACGTGGCACGGGAAGCGGGAGACTCGGAACCCTTTGTCCCCCCTTCCCTCCACCCGCCCACTTGCAGAGACTTCATGAGGCAGCCTTCTTTATTACGGAAACTGTGTTAAGGAAGACAAACAGGCAGTTGCCACAAAGAATAACTTCTTACTAACTTAGCGTGATGGCCGTACTGGGGATTACTGGCCCGAAATCGTTGCAGTGCGGAGCGAGTGTAGCGAGATCCGTAGAGAAACGACCGAGGACCAATACAGTTTGAGCAAGTGATGTTACTAAAATATTTTATTATGTGGCACTCGGGAAAAAAATTCTATTGTCACTAATGATCACGAGTTTGTCTTTTTTTTTTATGTAGGTGTGGTTATTAACTCAATCGAATTATTTCTACTTAGCGTACTAATTGACATTCTTTTTTTAGATTTTCACGTTCTAAAGATGTTAAAACGGTGTCCCCAAGGTGGGGAAGGGAATTTGAACTGAAAGGGTCAAGTCTTTCCACTGGAATAATGGTGGTTTATCTTTTAATGTGGAGACACTAAAAGCAAATGGCTCAAGAGAGAGGAAAAGGAAAGGGTAGGAGAGGAAATAATCAGGGCGAAGGGGGTGCACTTACTTACTTTCGCTGTCAACAAACCATCACTTCTACATTTGATAAATCTCCGTACAAAATTTCTTATTTTCCCTCCCAGTCCCAGTCCCCGCCCATCTCCCATACCCAGTCAACGGTGTGGCTATGATCACGGGTGCTGTCTAAAACAGGTGCAGATATTCTTGGATTCTTTTTATCGGAAATTTAGAATAAGTATTAACAAAGCTGCATCGGGGGGAGAGCTAGGGGAAAAGAAACGCTAGTATCCCTAAATCGTGTCATAAAAGGCATATTTGTTTAAATATTTCTGTGATTTGTGAGCACTAACCGCTCTAGTTGGGTTTACAAGATGCGCATACAAGCACAGCAAGAATTTAGGAAATAAATCTACTACACCAACAAAATGTTTCAAACCTTCACTTTAAACTTTGAAATTTATTTACAAATGCTTTATCGCTCTTTATGGAAACAAAAATATTCCGCATAAACTTTTCAAGTTGCGTGTTTTCAAATTGACCATCCGCCTGGTCCATCGTGCAGCTCCAGTCTAAACCGAAATTAAAAATTTTTCTGTGTTTATAGAGAATTAAATGCACCGTGACAACTACTCAATTTATCGAGAGAGACTACTTCCGGAAAGAAAACTCTTAAACTTCTGAAAGACTTTCTTTCTTCTTTCGCCCAACGGCAAACGTTTGGAGACAACTTCACTCGGCCGGGTTTTTTTAAAAAGAGATCTGGGCCGAGTACAATAACTGTGTAGATAGCCTGTCTTTTAACCTGTAAAAACAACAAACACAA